TTACCCTGGAGAATGGTATAGCCTCCCCTGTCACCGCCCCTCACGGGCTCCACGGGCAACACCTCCAGAAGCGTTGTCCTTCTCTAGCCGCACTGAGACTTGACATCGTTGCACATGGCTAGTCGGTTGACGCGGTCGATGCCAAGAACAACGAGACTGCTGCCAATCCCCAAATGACACGCTTGCAGGTGTCCCTATTCTAATGCAGCGAGAGCAGCACTAGCCAGACGACATGACACAAACAGTCAACAACGCAAAAATCTTACCGTTTGCCAACGCCAACAGCTTGATGACCTCGTCTGCAGACAAGCCTGGCATATCCTTCACCCGATTGGTGTAGATGTACTCCAACATCTGCCTCAATGTTGCCTCGTCATGTTCCATCACGGTCACCTGTTTAAAATTTCATTTTAGTTTTCCGAAGGCAAGAGTAAGCACCAGTTTCATGAGTGTCCACCCGGAGGAAATTTAGGGGTCGCAATAAACGCGACGGAGCAACAGAGGACACGCGAGCGTTTGTCCGGGAAAATGAGGATAGGCGTTTTGCTGCATGTTTTCCCACGCACACCCAGTCCACGTCAATCCAAGACTGTCATAATCAGCCAATCCGACACCACTACCACGGGCACTGCTGTTCGCGTGGCTTCTTCGCCGCATCGGGACAACGCAGAACGGCTGGGTGTTCACAAGCACACGATATTACAACACAGCCCGTCCCGTTTTGTCGTTTTTGGAGGGGCACGCAGCGCAAAGGCCAATAGTAACAACATTCCTTGCCTGAATCACTATTGCCGCCGAAGGGGAACCAAGGCTTCTTGTGTGTTTGCCAATAACACACACCCCGAACCAGACTCAATACATTTTCAGCCGAAATGGAACAAGGCTTCTTGTTGCCCTAGTCTACTACTCTATTCTTTTGTAGCCGCCTGCCTCACCTCGCTGGTTTCGCTCTCACGCATCGCTCCTTTCCGGAACATACTGCGGAAATACTCTGATCGCGCGACCAGGTGAGTCTTGTGTGCTTTCACCTGGAGTCAGAGAGAGAGAGAGAGAGAATGATAGGGAGAGCGAGGGAGGGAGAGGGAGACAGAGAGTAGGAGGGAGAGGGAGTACAACAGAACACAACAACCAACGGAGGGAGGCGGGTCAATGGAAGCGGATTGAACAAGGTCGACAGGAGTAGCATAGCAGAGGCGAAAAAGGACACCCAAAGGACTACAGAATCACATCCAAGCAGGCCACAATCCATCCCGAACCTGTCCTGAACGTAGGATAGCTACAGAGAGAGAGATAGGATTGTTTATGGTTCTGCGAGATATGAAGTATTATAGAACCAACTCCATACATGGTATCAATCTTCACTATTGGACCCCCATCGGCTTCGCTCCACCATACTCGTGTACGTGCGCCGAGGCCTAAACCATGTCTGCAATCCAATCCAATCCAATCAAACCTCTGTGTCTCAATAGTCCTGTGGTTTCAAGTCAAGAAACGTTGCGACGGTGCAAGTAGACACCAAATGAAGACGGAGGCTTTGTAATCCAATCCGACCCCTGTGCCGTGAAATCATCTCGCACGATGTTGCTACTCTTCAACAAGAACATAACCAAGGGAGACAGACAAGAGGCTGGCTTTGCGATCCAATCCAACACCGAAGGACCCACCTCTGTCCTCGACGGGCCCACGAAAAAGGTAACGTCGCAGTGCTCATCATCGTCCAACAACGACCCCATCTGCTCGATGAACATGTCATCTGGACAGAGGCTGTCTGGATCCACCTGTTGGCGCGTGCACCGAGACAGAAACACACAGCAGCAGAAGCCGAAAACAAGATCGGCGACAACAAGCTGTCGTCAGGACTGACAGGCGGTATGGGGGGTCTGAGACAACGCCTCCACTCACACTCTCTCAGCCGTACGCGGAACTACTGCAAGGTTGAGAGTCAGCGCACAGCGGTGCCATCGGTTTTCGAAGCGTAATTTCTCCACAACCAGAAGGGTGCGAGCGCCAACTGATACTTTTCAGGAAAGCTCTCGACGAGATATTTCCAAAACCGCCCTTTTCGACAGGGGTAACCCCCTGGTTACGGAGAAATTGCGCTTAGAAAATCTTTCGCACCCCCGTTCGCTGACTGGCAACCTTACGGTAGGCAAGTTGCCCTATGTGAGGTGATTTGTCAGCCAACGCAAGGGGCGCATCGATTCAGTGGCACTTCGATCCTTGGGGTAGGTATCGCGAGCACGTGCGTGTTACTCATATACATACTATCGCCCATATTCTTCAGGCCAGCTTTACATGGAGGTGCTATCTGCAGCGCACAGGGCACGGTGCGTTAGGCGTGAGCACCAAACAGACACTTAAGTTATTCACCAGGTGAAACAAGTTTGGAATTACCACATAAAGAACGCATGGACCTACACACGCGGTGCTAGTACTGGCGACATTTTAGCACATCCAATGCGAAACTCATGCAAACAGTAACAATTGTCACGATGCGCGTATGTCCTCTTGTTCATTGTATGTGGACTGCCTGCGCCAAGAGACTATGTTAAAAGAGTGGCACGTAGACCCAAACCCTAACCCCAAGTTAGCCGATTGAATCAATGCTTCATCCAGAATTCTTGCTTACAAAGAGAAAATCCGGAGGTAGCTGTTGTATCTACTCAAACGTAGTAAAGACCTTCGTGCATGTTGTGGATTTCTCACCTCTGCCTCGTCGTCGGATACGGAGTCGGATTTGCTCTTGCGGCGACGTACTACGATCTCATCCCGGACCTGATTCAATGATTCAACACACACACCGCATCGGCGCCCCCCGCCGGGTTAGCCAATCAGAGCGCGACAACGCCGCAACATACGCGGGGCGGCAGGCAGGTAGGCAGGCACGGGGATGGTAAGTTGAGGCATACGGCTTTCGCGCTGTTGGCGAGGTAGACAAAAGTTCGGTTTCGTTTATGCAACATAGGGCAGGGGGGGCGGTGACACATAAAAAATGTAAACTACAACAGCACACGTAATTCGCCGTGAGACGGTTCACAAGTTAAAAGAACTGACCGTATCGTACTTTGGTCCGCGGACGTCTGACAATGTCAAACTCTCCCTACGGACATTTCAAGACACGGTGTGGCTTGGACAGCGGTACAACTACTGCTGTGGGGCCGACAGCAACGGGCGGACGCAACCTGAACCACCTCCCGAGTGCCTCCATACCCTTTCCCTCAAAACGAATTCCGTTGTCTCCAACACGAGGAGGGATAGGCAGTATACCGGCCTACGCCATAAAAGAACTACAGCAGTAACCTACAGACAACGAGCCGGTTTAGACCTCCCGCTATCTACTTGTACGAAGACAGCTTGCTGTTTAAGACTCCCTCCAGGAGGTGACGAGGGTCGAAACAAGTCAAGTCGTCTCCAGCACTTCTACTTCTGTGCCGCGGGCAATCATCGTCTGGTCGACGGCTACAAGGGTCGCTCAGGGAGGGTGGCAGTGTGACAGACCGCTGTCGCAATAAAGAACACATATTGTATGTATATTGGAAGCTGTTGCGCCTTACACTGGTACACCACATCCTGCTGCGTCTTTATACTATTTCGAGCCAATCAGTGACGACCGAATAGCAAAGGGTGTGCGGATATCTTGTTGCGAACATAGCATAGAGGGTGCGTCGCCTAGGTCAAGATTGACACACGACAGGTAGAAAGAAAAGCAAAAGCTCAAGCACTGGTAACGGTCAGTGTGGTGAGTGGTGAAAGAGAAGAGAAGAGAAGAGAGCTGGCTGGTTGTGGCGCAAGGTGCCATTCCGGACATCGTCACAAGACGCACCGCTCTCTGACTGGATGTATGTATTTAAACACACACACACACACCTATTTTGGTATGCATGACTCTTGAAATAATTTCAACGACACTCAACACAACTGCGGTGAACAAACTGCTGTTGCCAGCCGACGGCTGGGACGGGAGCGATCGATACATCCTAGCTCACGACCCAGCTGCCAACGTGTGTGGGACACTGCTGTTGTTGCTGCGTCAGACGGCTCATGTATACACACACGACGAAAAGCAGTGATGGAGTGCGGCATGATTTGTGCCGCACGCACACAATCGCTAAGACACTTTCGCTGCTGAGGGCGGGGGTATACGCGACACTTCGGGGGGACGATGACGAGGAGATCTCAAACCACGAGCTGGCACGGTATGTATCAACCACATCGCGTCTAGAGAGAGAAAAGAAGAATACAACACACCGGCTCTCTCCATTCAAAAATCGAAGATAGACAAGGATAGATGTGGTTTTCACGTTCGTTCCACCTTCTTCGCTCTAAGATGTGTATAGTTGTCGGTCTTTCTCCGCTCGATCATGGTTATTGTACAAAAGGAGCCGACCAGAGCAAAGAGAAAAAAAGCAGCCACCACCGCAACCATTACCAGAACGCCGAGCTCTGCCGCCAACGAGGGCCTAAAGAACGGCCACACTGACGCTAAACCCCTCTCTTCACAAAGGGTCGCGCGCTTCTGAGCATCCACCGCACCTCATGGAGAGAGAGAGAGAGAGAGAGAGAGAGAGAGAGAGGGCCGGGCGGCGGCGGGGCTACAGTTGACTCCCTCCGTCATTTTCCCCGCGGGCTCGGCTTGCGACCCCCCCGACACGTCGATAGGCAAAAAATCACAACCATGACCAAAAAACGAGAAAACGCACATAACAAGAGCACAAGACTCGGCTTACTACCAACCACAGACCACCTTCCCGTAAGGCTGCCGGGAGAGTGCACGGCAACTGGGACAACGGCTGCTGTGGTGGGGCTTCGCAAAGGCGATGATGGGTTAGTTGTGGTCGCTAGGTAGCTACTTCGCGTGGCGCCTTCTCACCAGAAGAAAAACTGTTTCCGGGGTGTCCTCGTTTTGCAACTCCTCCGTGAAGTAGTAGGCGAGGTCGTCTTTCCGAAGCCCGTGGTGCTTGGCGTAATGCCGGAACAGCGACGAGAATCTCTGGTTCTTGAGCATCAGGCAGCTGTACGGCGTGCCGGCTCGGACTCGGATCACCGATCGCTCGGAGCCTTCGAGAATCAAGTCCTCTGCCGGCTGCAGCAGCAATAACAAAATTACGAGAAAAAGTAAAAAAGAGAAAGGAGAGTTTTTGATGACCGAGGACAAGCGAGACATGGTTGTCGATTCCAGTATCATACGCGAACAGCTACAGGTGATAGGTCATTTCGGCAATTTTGAAAACAGCAGCAGGTCGGAGTGTTCGAAGAACGGAGGAAGCCGTCTCGGCACGAGACGTGGCGGCGGGCAAGTGCCCACGGTCTCGCCTCGGCCATGCCCCAAGAGGGGCGACGACTTCCCGTACGTCAAGACGAGGCAAACGACATCTGCTGCTGTTTTTTCGCCGAGACACACACCGCTGTATCACAACTTTCGACCCAGCAGCACACGTTACAGTTTCTTTTCGAGCTTTGACAGGTTGCCTCTCTCCGTACCCCGGGACCAGGAGGGCTCGCACTCCATGCTGGCACGCACGGCCCGCCGTAAAGTCAACTGGAAACCGAGCTCGACATCGGGGTATCAAACACATCGATCGCGGCACAAAAACAACAAGGCCCCCAAGCGACTACTGCTTCTGCTGTGTACCCCGCGGAAACAACGACTCCCACTTTCATTGCGCCGACCCGGCCAGAAAAAATAAACAAGCGACTCACCTTCACCACGAACTCTACATGCTGGTCAACCGGCCGTGTTGCTCCTGGTGCCGCGTTTGCGTTCGCCGTCGCCATATTCCCCCCCCTCTTCCAGAGCGAGCAACCTGCGCCTGGTGACTTCCGTAGCCCGGCCGACCGCGGACCTCCGTATAAGCTCTCTGATTGTGGTCTCGCTGTGGAAACACACCGGCACACCAGCGAAAGGAAACAAAAAAGAACACGAACACACTCCCCCCGAGCGAGCTGCTGAAATTCCTGCGGTGCGAGGATGCAAGTAGTCCAGCGGGCACGCTGTGACGCTCTACAGGCAAAGACGAGACAACGAAAGTAGTAGCAGCACGCAAAAAACGCGAAAGGGGAGCAGGTTTGTGCAACGCGAAATGTACCGGTGGAGGCGTTTTGAGGCCCCGCAGATTGTTAAACCCAGAATCACGGCCACAGGTACGTATAGAATACATTTCGCGGGCTCCCTCGCTTCCCGTTTATAGTTCTAGATTTTCTAGATCATGCGACACCGCTCTCCGCGCTCGCGTTGGGCCCTGCTGATCATGAGGAGACAAAACTCTGTCGCGGTGACCGCGGCTCTGCTGCTGAATGCCTCGCCCGCGTTCTCGTTCAGCGCCCTACGGCATTCTGTCGGCAGATTATTGCCTCCACAGGCCTCGTTTTCAACATCGAACATACGGCAGCAGCAGCAGCCGCCGAGGATGATGGTGACCTCTGTGCCACAGGCGGACACTCCCGGCGTTGAGACGGCGACCGGCGGCACCAAGCCGGCGAGCCGGCGATTACACGTCCAGGTGTGTAAATGAATGCCCTGTGCGTCGCAAGAGGCCGTGGTTGTGTGCTGAGACCTACAGGACGAAGAGGTCAAAGGAGAAAAACGATGACGCGCCAAAACGTACGCATACGCCTGTCTCAGATTCGGATGGATACATTGGATACATCATCCATTATCATGAGATAACATCATCCATTATCATGAGACGCTTTGCCTTTGCCACAACGCCAGACACCTGTTGCCGCTGGAGATCAATTTCAGGCCGCCAACAGCAGCAATTGCAGGGAATTGTGCTCGCGAAGCCAACACTGCTGCTGTGGATTCCTCTAGGAATACTATTTAGTGTAGTGTCCTTGCTGCATACCAGAGAGCTGCTGCTACAACATTTCTAGTCTACAACAGTACCTTCGACGTACAGTATGTATTGTTGTTGTTGTTGTTGTTGTTATTGTTGTCTTCACATTAAAAACTGCTGTTCCGATCTCTCTCTACCCAGTACCTTCGTATGTCCGTACTGATCCAACACTTGACGCGGTCGATTCCCGTGGTCACATTACCCGAAAAAGGTACGCTCAAACAAACTGACCCCGAGGGGTCCGCAAGTCAAAAGAAATCAACGACAGATATTCTGGAGTCCTCCGCTCCCTCTGCGCGCTATGCGAGGTAACAACTGAGACTAGGAGTCAGCATCACGGGCCAGAGAGAAAGAGGTACACCCCCTTGGTTCAATCTTGGCTCTTCACACGCAAGCAGAGACAAGGCCATCTGACACAGAAAAAGAGAGAAAAAAGAGCGACAAAGAGAAAAAAGAGAACAAGAGAAAGAAATAAAAGGAAACAGGAAGAAAAGAGAAAAGAAAACGAAAAAGAAAACGAAAAATAAATAAAGCGAGAACAAAAGAGACCAGGCCGAAAATAACAAGAAGTAAGAGGCAGAAGAAGGCACACGGTGGAGAGACCACTAGCGAACGAACAAGCAAACACGCAAACATGGCCACAAACCAGCGATACATGGTAATGGTACGTCATCACTAGTGGGGGTTTGGTGCAATGGTGAGCGTTGGGGGGGCGTACTCTCATGTTTTGCATGCCTTAGCGGTTAGACCATTGACCACGCGTCCTCGAGAGGACGGAGCATTGTTCCCACAGGACCGATCACCGATGACCAATCGTTCCTTCCTACTTTGCCAAAGGTGGCTCAAAAATGTCTTCCCTAGTCTATCCTAACGATATCCCTTCCCGCCTTTTCAAACCACTTCCTACTCCCCAGTACAGCTACCGTCCTCTCCTCTCTATTCCATGCCTCAAACATCTCCCTGTACGTCCCTTGTATTTTTCTCAGCTCAGTCATGTACACTTTCCTCTCCTCTTCGTACCACGGACATTCCGCGACTACATGAACACGGTCTTCGCATTCGAAGCCGCAATCACATTTGAACTTGTCGTCTTCGTCGTCTACCGTCCTATGTCTTCGCCGACGTTCTCGAAGGCCTATGTCCCCGGTCCTGAATTTGACCTTAAGCTTTGTCCCTGCATCCATTGGTCCATGTAGGTAATCCTTGAACCCTATTCCTTCTTTCAACATTCCGTACACGTCTAGACCCTCCTTATCCTTGGTTTATTTCCTTAGATTCTGCTCTTCTCTCTCGGCACAAGCAACAGATACCTTCTCCTTGAACCCCTGTAGACCCTCCGTTTCCAGCGTTTCATCTTCGTCGATGTCTATCCCCTTCCATACGTCCTCTACAACCTTGACCCATTCCGTGGGTTGTCTACCCCTCTTTTTGTTTGCCCACTTCGCCTCCCATACTATTCTCGGCAACCTCTCCTCTCCCATCCCGCACATGCGATACTGCTATGTTAGCTTCCTTGCGTCTCTTCCCGACCGCAGGGATTGGATCCCCAATTCTGCCCTTACGGCTGCATTTCTTGTGCGCTTGGAGCATCCTAGTATGATTTCGCTGCTTTCATCTGCGCCGCCTCGAGTTCTTTCACTACCTTCTTATTTCCTTCCCATACTTCTCCGGCGTACTTTAGCGGCGGTACGATTACGCTCTTCAAAACCGCCAATTTGATGCGTGTATCGAGGTGCCGGTTTGCGAGTATTGGGTGCAGCTTCCCTGCTCGTGCTTTGCCCTTTTCCGCTACCTTGGACATGTGTGCATTCCACGAGCAGTCGTTTGCGGTTTCTACTCCGAGGTATGTGTTCTGGTCCACTACTGCAATCTCCTCGATCCCCCACTTCCATCTATGTTCTACTGGTTCCTCCCTGACCTCGTTGCACACCATGACGGCACTCTTCTTAAGGTTGGAAGACAATCTCCATTTATCAGTAAGCTTCTTCGCCGCGTCAATTTGCAGTTGCAGTCCCTCAGGGGTGTCCGACATACCAACAAAATCATCCGCAAACAGCATTCCTGTCCCCTACTTTTACTCCCTTCCGGACTGCCTCTACGACTTCCAACAGATCGTTGATGAACACCTGGAACAATGTTGGGGACAGCGTGCAACCTTGTGGGACCCCCTGCTCAATGTCGGAAGAACTTAGACAGTTCTCCGTCTAGCATGACCGCGCTTTTCGTACATTCTGTCATCTTCTTCAGCACTCTCCACATTTTCCCCTTGATCCCGTACTTGCACAATTGTTTCCACAGCCCATTTCTCCGTACGGTGTCGTATGCTTTTTCACGTCCAGGAAGAAGCAGTACGTCGGCTTTCCCGCCCTCTTTCTACCTTGGATGATTCTCCCTATCGTGAATGCGTGGTCTACGCACCCCCTCTTCTGTCGGAAACCTGCCTGGCCCTCACTAATGCTACGTTCCTTCTCCAATACTCCCACTATCCTATCGTTCAGCAACTTACAAAACACTTTTCCTACTGTATTCAACAGTGTGATACCCCTGTAGTTTCCTGGGTCAGTCTTGTCTCCTTTCTTAAACAAGTTCACAACCACTCCTTCCCTCCATCTACTTGGCGCATACTCGTTTTTCCACACCCAGTTGTACAGCTGTACCATCAACTGGATCATCCCCTTTCCCCCCAAACTTCATGAACTCGTTGACTATCCCATCCGCCCCTGCTGCTTTGTGGCACTGCAACTTGTTCACACACGCCTCAACCTCGTCCTCAGTGAACTCCTTTTCTAGTTTCTTCGTTCCCAACGTCTGCCTTCGATGTCTCTTCTTCTTTCTGGGCCCATGCGTCCACCTCCTCCTTCTTAAACGCTTGGTTGGTCAAAAGCTTCATTCTCCGAAGGCACTCCAAGTCTCTTGTATGTCCTGCTAGAACTTCCCTTTTTCCCTTCCCACTGCTGACTAGTCCACCGTTCACACCTCGCAAAGTTGCTACCCCTGTATCCCCCCCTGCGCGGTCTGTTTTACCATGCCACTAATCCCTTCCCACATGTGCTTGGCGTTCCCCTCCAGGCCTCCGTTGGCCTTCTGCACTACTTTGTTGGGGGGGGGAATTGGCTAAAAGAAATTCAATCGTATCGTGCCACTCGGTCCGTCTCTTCTCGTTTGCTTTCTTCCCTCGCCGTCTCGTCCGTCTCCTGCCCCCCTCCCGCCCCATTGGTTGTTGGCTTGTGGTTTCGTTTGAGCGCTCGTTTTCGGCTGGCCTCTTCTTCCTTCTGGTGCCAGGAGGTCATGAACCTCTCAGCTCCCTGCAGCACCGCCGCATGCCAGGGTACTCCCCCCTCCACCTTCGCGGCTTCCGTCCACTTTAACATCGGTGCCGTGTCTTTCGATACCGGGATTCCGAGACAACATGGATCGGTTTGCGTAGATCCGTGGTCGGCCCCGAATGCCTTCAGGTCGTCGAGCACACACTTCGGCCAGTTCTGTTCCTGTCCCCCCCTACGTGGCTTCTTCCCCGCCGCCAATTCGCCGAGCATCAGTCGTTTCGGGAGTCGCCCATCCGGCTGCCTTGCCAGTGCTCCCGCGAACAGTAGGCGTCGTTGTCGGATCGTGGCTTCAACGCTCTGGCATTCGACCCTCTTCAGCGTCTGGGCGTAAGAGAGCTGCCGGTAGGTATCTTTCTTGCGCTTGTACCCGATAACTCGAAGGAGCAGTCGGTGGTGTGTCGACCGCAGCGTCTGATAGTGGCCGCTGAGTGGTGACCATGTCATGCAACCGTACAGCAGTACCTCCATCGCCTCCGCCTGGAGGAGGCGGATCTTGAGTCGGAATGGCGCTTTCGGTCTGTCGAAGAGCTCCCAGCCATATCGCCTGAGGCACGCCCACGCTCCTCTGCTCGTGTAGTTGATCTCTCGGGTGAGGTCGCCATGTTCGTTGACGAGGCCACCGAGGTACCGGAACTCGGTCGTCTGGGCGTATTTCTGTCCGGCGGCTTCGATGGTCAGCGGCGGAGGCGGGGGGGGCTGTGATGTTGTAGTCGGCTTGTCCTTCGCGCGCACCAGGAGAGTCTCCGCCTTCTTCTCCGATACCGTCAGCCCGAACTCCCCGAACACCTCAACGATGATGGTCATCATTATCGCCAGTCCTTCTGCAGACCTCGATACGACGCCGGCATCATCGGCATATAGCATCCCCCATACTGCCCTCCGTCCTCGGTCAAGGGGTGTCTCCTCCGCCCCCCCCGCTTACGTCTTCCCCTCCTCCAAGCACACCAGGCTCCGCAGAACAACACCATCCTCGCTGAATCGGATAACGACGACCTCGAGGACCTCGGCGAAGAAGATGTTGAACAGCAGTGGGGATAGCACACATCCTTGTCGCACGCCCTGTGTCACGAAGATCCAGTCCGATAGTTCTCCGTCGTCCATGCGCACCCGGGCCCGCATTCCATCGTGGAATTGGCGGATGACTTTGATCAGCTTCGCGGGAATCCCGGCCTTGGCCAGCACTTTCCATAGCATCTCTCGGTCCACCGAATCATACGCCTTCTTCAAGTCGACGAAGCACATGTAGAGCGGTATTTTCTTCCTCCGCCCCAGCTCCTGGAGGCGGCGCACGACGAACAGCATGTCGACGGTGGGTCGCCCCGGTCGGAATCCGCACTGGGAGGATGTTGTTGGCTTCGCAGAAGGCGCTTAGACGGTTGGTGATGATCTTGATGGGGACCTTGCCTACGTGAGGTAGTAGCGAAATCCCCCTGTAGTTGGTACAGTTGGGCCGGTCACCCTTCCTTCTTGTACAGCACCTTGATGGTTGCATCCTTCCACTCTTGCGGAATATCTCCTCCGTTCCACACCTTTACGAGGATGGTATAGAGGTGCCCCAGGACGAAGGGTTCGTCGTCATCGATCTTGAGCAACTCGGCAGGGAGGGAGTCATGGCCGGGTGCCTTCCAGTTCTTGAGGCCTTTCGTTGCCCGTTTCACCTCCTCGAGTTTTGGCACCTCTCCCAACCGTTGAGTGTCACGTGTCGCTGGCCGCTGCGTCACTCGTTCGATGATGTCTGGGTTCAGGGTAGGGGATTTGGTGTTGAGCAGGGTGCTGAAGAATCTCGCCCACCGCTGGAGGATGTCGTCCCTGTTCCGGAGCAACACGCCGTTCTCATCCGCGACGAACTGCTGTCCCCCCGCTTGTCTCCCGCTGAGGCCCACTGATCTCTTGAGGTGTTGGTACAGTCCTCGCATGTCGCGTTCTTTGATAGATTGCTTCGAGTTCAGTCACATATCCGTCCAGGTGGGCATAAATGCCCGTTTCGACTGCTGTAGCCACTCCCTTACGCGCTGCTTTCAGAGCCCTCCACGTTGCTGAGTTCCAATTGCCCCTCATCGCTCGGCGCGCTTCCCGCCGTTTGGTAAGGGCCTCCTCCAGCACTGATCTCGTCTCTGGGGTCTCACGCCACTCCTGCGTGCGGCGTCTCCGCGGTTCCTCCCCTAGGGCCGTCCGCACTGCTTCGAGGAGAGCATTGGTAAAGTAGGTCGCCAATTCCGCGGCGGTGGTTGTTCGCTCGTCCAGTCGTGTGTCGAGGTTGAGGAGGAACCGGTTAGTCACCGCACACCGTGCTGCTTCGAACTGCAATTCCCGTTGGTTGAATTGTTGCTGTTTCGGTCTAGTCCGGACTGCACGGTTGTGGGCAAGCCTGCCACCGAGGTTGACGGTGTCTACTACCATGTTGTGGTCTGAGTCTGCTTTGACTGGGCGAACCGGCTGGGGGATGACAACCACGTTAGATACTCGGCCGTGATGTGCCTGCTTTGTCAGGATGTAGTCAAGGCGCTTGCAATCGGTTCCCGACACACCGTTGTATGTGTGCCATATTCCGCCCTTGCGTGTCTCGAAGAACGTGTTCGTGAGAGCTAGCCTGTTTTACGTTGCGAAGTTCAACAGTAGCATGCCATTGTCGTTGAGCTCATCACGCCCGTACATTCCTATTGCCCTTCCGTCCCCTCCGTCCAACCTATCTCCCGTCCGCGCATTGGCGCCCATTAGGACATACACACATTTTTTGGAAGGGATCCTCCGCACGAGACTGTCAAGTTTTCCCCAGAACACGCGCTTGCTGTCTGCGGTTGAAGGTTCGGTTGGAGCATACGCGGCTACGAAGTTGACCGCTCCACGGTGGCCTGCCAACATAAACCTCATGGCTATAAGGCGTTCGTCAATAAACTCCGTAGTGAACGTGAATGTCTTGCACAGTGACTCTTTGACGGTTATCCCCACACCATGGGCTCAACCAGTCTCCGTGCCACAGCAGAACACCCGGAAACCCGCTGCTGCAAATTTCGTTCGACCTGCTCTCCGTGTCTCCTGCATTCCTACCACCGATACGTCTTGTCTCGCTGCCTCGTGTAGAATGCTGTAGGCTCGCCCGTATCCATTGGCCCCGTTTACAGCCAAAGTCCGCACATTCCAGGTTGCTACCCTAAGTATATACAAGCATGGATCCGTCTCTCCAGTCCCCAGTCCCAGTAGGCAACTTGGCTGTCAGGTTCAGAGCACTTGCTTGGTACTTCGCGTTCCACCGTCCTGCCTGGTAAATGAGGATGATCTCTCCTTATGAGTTGGAGAGGTTTCCGGTACCCAACTGATCTGGTACTTTTCAGAACATCTTCATTCCCCACAGGCTCTAGACTAGGTATCGGTGAAGACAAGAAATTGGTTTTGGCAAAAAGTTGACGCTCAACAGCAGTAGGACTCTGGGATGCTACATACTACGACGTAGGCTACGGTACTTTGAAGAAGGTCGTTGCGGGCGACGGTGGCAGTTGACAACCAGTGGTGTACACGCTAAATACGTGACTATTATTCTAGATCTGGATCTCGATCTGTAGAAAAGAGTCTACGATAGACTAACAATGAATCCATACCGTCGGCGGCGGCTACCTGCTTCCCCACGATTTCCCGAGCAGCACACAGCGATATCTCCCCTGTGGGTAACAGGCTCAACAAGACAGTTGGCAGCCATCTTTTTTTTTTATATTTTCTAAAAATCTGCTTCTTCTCCGTTGCGCCCTTGCGATAACTTGATGCATTAAGCCCGGTCTTCCATAGGCGTCGCCTGAGCTGCACTGCAAGGAGTTGAAGGCGTTCTCTTAAGAGGGCGTGTTTCCGGTGGGATGGCCCGTCTGTGCCTTTTGTCGTTTGTATTTTGCTGTTCTGAAAGCGTTCCTCCGTAACATTACCAGAGGTGTACTGCTGTTGCTTGAATACTCAACAGCAAAGTACCACAGCTTGCCCCCCCCC